CCACCTTGCAGCCCATGCTTATACATGAAAAACATTTTTAAAAATATTATATATTCGACTATTTGGATGGAGTAATTCCAAATTCACATGTTTGTACTGCATGGTGATAGTCTTTACTGCCTGTCTTCTCATTGTATAGAAAAGAAACTCCATGAAGACAATTTAAAAAGTAGTTCACAGAAGAAAAACTATTTCCTAAATGCAACTAAACATTATATAAAAAAAAAAAAATTACTGAACTGATAAGATAAGACTGTGACTAGGATGTATCAGGATTTATCAGAATGTACCATAAACCCAGGTGTGCAGCAGTAATATTAGTTACAGTACATTCAGATGTACAACATTATTAGTAGTGTGAGGTTTGTAGCATCTGGGATATAAGCAACAGAAAACTGTTTTTTTTGGATAAATATCAAAGAAGATAAGCAAGCCCAGCAGACAGTAAACATCAACACAGTAAAGACAATCTTCTAAAGAGAAACCAAATTGGACTCTGTGTGTTGCAATCTGAGAAAATCCCTCATATTTCCTTGAAGGTACCTTCAGCAAAAACAGGTCAGACTTACTTGTGTTGAGGTCAGTTAGTGTTTGACTGCCAGTTCTGTTTACCCTGCTGAAGGTGAACAGAAATGGCAGTAAACCTTCCTGAAGGTGAACGGAAACATATCACCACGGAGGCATATTCTCACTTATTCCAACCTTGTCTCCTGTTATGCTTTGGCAAATGTGGTTTTGCAAGAAATACTACCTCAAATTGATCTCTTAATTACTTTCTGTTTGCTATTATTGTTTTTCTAAGTGATGGAAGTAGAACATTGTTAAGGCAGTTTTTTACGGCAGCTCAATGGGAGGTTGTTGGGGTTGATAGTGGGTCTACAGCGCACATGGCATTGTCACATATGAACTTTGATGACTTGCATTCTGAGTCCTGCAAATTCATCGTTTTGCATTACGATTGTGGTTTCGGTTTGAATGCAGCCTTGCGCATCAAATCATTATTCTAGAAATGAAAGTGAGAGTTTCTCCCGCTATACTTTTGCTGGTTATGTATGAAATAAGAACTCACTTTCTTGAAATGTTTTCTTGTCATAAAAACATTATATTCTCATGCTTCAACAATGAGTTTTTTCACAGTTAACTTAAAAAAAATTACAACAGGATGTTTTTACTTGCATGTTTAACAGTAGATTTAATGTTATCATGATAACATAAAAGATAAGAATCAACACTCTTAGTTTAAAAAAAAAAAACTTAATGCCAACCTGTGAGTATAACATCTTATTTAAACTTAAGGGGATAAATGATGAGAGTCCGCTGCACAGCATTCTGAGACATTACAGTAAATTTCTACCCTGCTGTGTTTGTAAAAGTAGGCTACTTGTTTGACCAGAAATAAATCAGATCAAAACCTAAAGTAAGAACCAACACTTGCATTATGACTCCACTTTACTCCACTTCCTCGTTGATTTCTTCCCTTGTGAGACATGAGTCGCCTCGCTGGAAAAGCAGTGATTCTAGTGAAGTGCATACCATCACATTTGCGTATTTTGACTGTGAAGAACAACTTTCTCTTCCCTTATTACCGTATTGAGGAAGTTGTGTATCTGTGGTGTCTTTATGTTGACACAAAATCAAGTAATATAAATTGTTTCCACTGTCGGATTAATTTCTGTGAAGGTTTTATTTCATAATCTGGAGTAAAGGTTAAGTTGTGTGTAAGCGTTGCACGCTGTAATCGCCAGTGGAGCATTTACACAGAAAGTTTTGTTTTCCTGTAACTCGCTGTTCGGATGTTTGCCTTATCTGTCGCCTGTATTTGCTCTTTTGGACTTTCCCCTGAAGCAATTGTCGGAAAATAATAAAGCTGATGGACCTGAAGTAGCTCCAGAGCAGGAATATTTGGCAGAATTCCAGATGGTAGCACAAGTGAGAGGCGGTATTCAGCCAAGTGCTGTGGGAAAACAAGTGTTTCTTTATTCGAGCATCGTGGATTGACGGGAATGGACATGTTTTACCTTCCCTGAAGCGCCTTTGAAGCCTGTGTTTAATAGAGGTGTTGTGTCTACAATTATTGCCGCCCTAGCATGCCAAGTGTGCAGTCTCGTAAGGGGTCAAAGAAGAAGCGAAGTCATCGCGTGCGTTAATTCAAGCAATTTTTTTTGATGATTATGTGTGAATGTAGTGCTAATGTGTCCAGGTTGATGAGTTCATTGGTCAGCATGCTCTTATGTGACCAAATTCTCATCGATCAGACTGTGTTAACTGTCACAAAGAATAAAGCACTGCATTTTAAGAACAGATGGAGACTGATAGGTCTTGCTTTTTAACATTGACATTTACTACACGTTAGCCAGACTGCTCTCCACGGCGCGATGCGAGCCCTGGAGAATGGCCTGGCTGCACCGTTTTGCCTTGCTTGTATTTCTTTAAACCAATCACAGCCATGTTTGGTGTTGCTAAGCCCAGGATGCAGTGATGGTGTCCCTGCAAAATCGTGACAAGGAAATTGTCGTGGTGGAACATTTGCAGACAGGGAGCACTGTCACTAAAAGAGCCACTCTGCATTGTTTAAGTTTTATCCAAAAACTGGTCATTTTTAGCGTACAGGTTGCTACTTAGAGGTTGTTGTTGTTGTTTACTGTAATGAAGGAGATTTTGAAACCTGTAGCAAACAGATATTGAAAGACGAGAAGAAAGCCATGCGTGAGCAAACAGACTGTTATCATTTCTGTGTAAAATATCCAGAATAAAATGATTTAATATGTTGCGAATATTCCTTATTTATGTTGATTTAGTATTGATTTAGGCTGAAAAGGCTAACAGGGACAGGGCACCCAATGCTCTGTGGCCTAATTAGTTCATCTAGAGACAATATACGTTTGTATTTTGTTTTTTAAATTTTATGTGCAACCAATTTATTGGTTGAAGAGGAGGTACAATCCCAGTAGGATATTTTCTTTGGTTGACTACAGCCCTAATTTGACCCCTAAAATAAATTTTTGGCAATTTGAAGCTGTGAAACAAGTCGAAACACTACGATCAGGTCGAATAACATATTACCTTAATTAGCAGTTTTCTACTTGTGTGTAGAGTTCATGTTGACATCCAAGTTGCAAGGACAACTAGGATATTTTTTCTGAAAGTTCTGATGTCTGATTTGGTCCTAAAAAGTACTGAAGAGACAGCAAAAGCAAGCAAAATTAAAAATAGAGGTTTTCTTTGCTGAATGAAAACTAGCTAAGTTGGTCCACAGTGCAATATGTATTATTTTTACCAAAAGATATACTTTTTAGGGCTTATTCTTGGAGCGAGTCTTGTCACCCACCTCCAGTTTTAGAGCGTTTGGTTTATTTCAACCCAAATCAAATAAAAGCAACCAGTGAAAATGGAAGAAAAGTGTATAAATACCATGAAAAAGTAAGGATCTTACGTAGAACTCCAACTCCTAATGCACACTTTGTTGCTCTTTCTATGTGCTAAGCAAAAAAATAGACCAAAAAAAATACATTTCACATTTTTCACGTTTTATTTGTTGCGCCGTGGACCCTTGGAGCTATTCCACATTTCGGTTAGACTGTGTTGTGCTCTTTAGAGCTTCAGAGAACTATAAAGCTGAGTGATAATTCGTTGTGGTTTTGCCGCTGTAATTATTTCCTTTTTCACTGTATGTAGCTGTATGACTCATTGTTATTATAAGGTTTTGACTGGCAAAGCTTTAATATTTACTCAAGCACTAAAGCTCTGAAGTTGAGATTTGACTCCTAAGGTTTCGATTTTGAGGTTTCAATAAGATGAGTAACTTCCGTTGAAGCCAAACTGAGCTTTGAATGGTTTTGTTTTATGCGCAAAAGGACATCTGCAGCGAATCTGTCATAAGGTTGTAAACAAATGCTCCGCGGGTTGTGTTTTATTTTTGGGTGGTCTGTTCTCACTTTGCGCAGTCCCTCGTGCTTCGTGGGAAACTCCACAGGATCCTGCTGGACTTGCCCTGGAGGACAGTCTCTGGGAGGCAGAGATGTTGTCCTGTCCTGGAGTGACAGGGTCAAACAAAGTTAGAAGGGTTTCCTGTTTTCTTATACTCCCGCCGTATATTCTCATAAATCCTGGGACTCATTATAAGGATTTCTCATCACTCACGGTACACAGAAACAAGTAGGACACATTGAACACAGCAATGCTTTATACCTTGTGTTTAATAAAAGAAAAGTTTATGCAAACGACTACCTTCTACCATAAATAGAAAATCCCAGTAAAAAATATCTCTTAAATGCTTTAACTCACCCGTAAATCTTTCTGCACAGCTCCCAGAAAATCTCATAATCTTTTCTTAAATAGAAAAATAAATGCACAGGCTGTTCCATCAAATAGATAATATGGTTACAAATAATCCTGATAACTAATAATAATGATAACAATGAACAGTTCAGAGCTTTAATTTGCCCTTTTTAAAGATAAAATTTCTTAGTTTTACTATTTACATACACTCATTCTATAGCCAGCTCTAACTTTCATTAAATATACACATTTTTAAGCTTTTAAAATAAAGAAATTTACAAAGCAAAGCGCAGGGTGGCGCAGTTGGTAGCACTGTTGCCTCGCAGCAAGAAGGTTGCCGGTTCGCGTCCTGTGTAGAGTTTACATGTTCTCCCCGTGCAGCGTGGGTTCTCTCCAGGTTCTCCGGCTTCCTCCCACACAGTCCAAAAACATGCTGAGGTTAATTAGTGATTCTAAATTGTCCGTAGGTGTGAATGTGAGTGTGCTTGGTTGTCTGTCTGTAAGTGTAGCCCTGTGATAGACTGGTGACCTGTCCAGGGTGTCTCCTGCCTTCGCCCTAAGTTGGCTGGGATAGACTCCAGCCCCCCCGCGACCCTAGTGAGGATTAAGCGGTGTATAGATAATGGATGGACAAAGCAAAGCTGCTGAAATGTCAGCGTAGACTCACAGCATTGTGTAGCTGCATCAGTATCTGGCTGGTTTTCCTGCATATACAGTTATGGACTCTAAATGTGGGACAATGAAGGTCATCCTGGGAGTGTGTGGTCAGATAAGATAAAATGTCTTTCTCACACAGTGCTGTGCAAAAACATGAGGCGCTGAAAGGAAAGGGGGGGGGGGGAAACCAAACACATGATCAGTTTCCTTAATGCAGACTGCAGAAAAGGCAAAAAAAAAAAAAACGTATCAGATATCCCTTGTGACTACCTGTTAACTTTGAAAAAGCAGCAATACTCTGAAATGCACAGAATTTTCTTAAGATAATTAGCAGGTAGATTGTTTCAGATATCTTGGGTCAGATCTCTCTGTGATGATACTGCATGGTGGATAACAGTCTGAGCATCTGAAGTGTAGAAACTGTCTGCACAGTGCTGTAAATCTGAGCTGAAAGAAACCTACAGGAACCGATTTGTTGTGGGAATATGTGAGGCTGTTGTCGCCGTCAGCACACTGACCCGAGGCTGCTCGGCAACTGTCGCTGGCTCGGTAATTTCCCAGTGGGAAGGTGTCATAGGGGGCTGAGGGAGCAAACTGTGGTTTTGGAAAACAGACAGACACGTAGACAAAACAGCAGCAACAAAACAATAAACCCCCCTTACACACCATGAGATACTGTACATCTCATTCTGAAACCAAAACTGTACATTCAGACACAATCAGCCAAGATGGTCAGAAGGTGGACAACCAAGCTGACCTTGAGTTTTGGGGGAATTTGTGTCATTTTAACTGCATGATTAATTCTAGTGCTACATATTACTCAGAAAATATTAGAAAACATAATAAATGCAGGGCCTAACTCAGGGGAC